TAAACTGACAGAATTGTAAATTGTCGACGAGAAAAAAAACGCTTCTGGTTAAGTGCCCCCCCCTCCCTCCTCCCCCCATGGCGCTTTCGATCTTAGGGACTGGTCATGAACAATTGGCCCAGGCTCATTTCATTTTTATTTTGGAATTGAAGCGAATTTACCCCTCGGTAGGCTTACAGCGGTGCTCCTTACTAGGGTCTTCTTATAAGCAGTGCCGGATTAAGCTATTGCGGGGCCTGTAGCCCTAAATATAAAAACACGTAAATATTAAAACACATAAATATTAAAAACACGATTTTTTTTACCTGCATAGTAAAGTAATTGTATTTTTTTCATTCGCTATACAGCCAGATAATACGACAAATCGATAACCTTAGCCACCCAGTCGTTCGTAACAGTCGAAGGCGGTATAGTACTATAGTAATAGAGCAAGTGCAGAATCACTGAACCGGAATTGATAGCTTGAAAGCATTTAGCGTGGGGCCCTTGAAAATGCGGGGCCCGTAGCTACTACTACACGTGTAGCTACTACTACTGCACGTGTAGTAGCTACTACTACATATGTAGTAGTAGCTACTACATGTGTAGCTACTTTTGCGACTACGATAATCCGGCACTGCTAATAAGGCGTACACACGAACGGATATGCATTCATTACACTGGCTATATGGTATGTACATGGCGTGCGTGTCTGTGTGTATCGAAGTCGATTTGCATATTTATATACGTGTGTGTGTGGGGGGAGCGGTGGCGAAGCGGTTAGCGCGCTGTGTTCCGAACCCGGCTATGACCCGAGTTCGATTCCCGCTCACGGCCAACACCGGTGACGATTATCTGAACCGGGCCTCTGGGCCTCCCCTAGGTCGACTCAGCCTCAAACGAGTACCCGGTGCGGTGTGTAAACATCGCCACTGGGGAGACAAAGGCGGCCGGGCGTGGTTGTTGGCCTCCCACCCCCTCGTGCGCCGTGCCGGCCTTCGTAGGTGCTACTCGCTAACAGCGCTTGCCCCAACAGTCTGTCGAGGCCGCACGGGGGGATCTTCGTCTTTGTGCGTCAGCGGCGTCTCTAGGGGTGGTTAGCGCGCGGCGGTACGGACCCGAGTAGCTGGGTGCGATGCGCAAAAAGAAACCAAAAAAAAAAACATCGCCCACTGGGGAGACAAAGGAGGACGGCTCCGCGGTGCTCTCCAAACCCACCCACATCGAGTGCCGTTGCAGCCTTCAGCGGTCGTCTCTCCGGCCCCAGCAGTCTGGTCAGAGGCTACACGTGGGAGGTGCTCACGTGTCCGCACGTGTTGTTCATGACAAGCGCACGCGTTTATAGCCGAACGGACCAAAAATAAAGTTTTCGTCGCGAGTAAAAAATAATAATGATTATTATTATTATAATAGATCCACTCGACGGTTAGACGAAAAATAAAAAAATGAAACAGATTATTATTTCGGTTGCGCGGGGGTCCGAATTGTTGTTGTTGTTGTTTATATTGTTGTTGTTGTTATTTATTTATTTGATGTCGCCCCACACGAGCTCAGGGACGTCCCTCTGTGACAGCGGCCGGCACCCCAACGTCGAGTGACGGGGGGGGGGGCAGATCGGTGCGGGGGCGCAGATCGGTCGGGGGGGGCAGATCGGGGGGGGGAGGGGGCAGATCGGTTGGGGGGGGGGCAGATCGGTGGTGGGGGTGGTCAGATCGGTGAGGGGGCAGATTGGTGGGGGGGGGGCAGATCGGTGGGGGAGGGCAGATCGGTGGGGGGAGGGGGCAGATCGGTGGGGGAGGGCAGATCGGTGGGGGGGGGGGCAGATTTGTGGGGGGAGGCAGATCGGTCGGGGGAGGCGCAGATCCGTGGGGGGGGCAGATCGGTGGGTGGGGGTGCAGATCGGTCGATGAGGGGGGGGGCAGATCAGTGGGTGGGGGGTGGGGGGCACAGATCGGTGGGGGCCCCTGTGCCGGGCAGCGCCAACCCGCCGCGGCCTGTGGCTCTCTCCCCCCTCCCTCCCCTCGCCCCCCCTTCCCCCGTGCTGCGACTTGAGGCGTCGGGCATCGCCAAGGCGCCAATGTGGGGGGGGGGTGCAGTGGGGGGCGACGGGGTCCAGGTCGGTAACTTAAATACGCGCGGCCAAGTTGAGCCGCGTCAAGACACCAAACCCACGCGCCTGCATTTTTCATTCACGTGTCTGGGTGTTGTGGGTCCGTGCCTCCACGTGTCTGTGTGTGTGTGAGTCCGTGCCTCCACGTGTCTGGGTGTGTGGGTCTGTGCCTCCACGTGTCTGTGTGTGTGGGTCTGTGCCTCCACGTGTCTGGGTGTTGTGGGTCCGTGTCTCCACGTGTCTGTGTGTGGGTCCGTGCCTCCACGTGTCTGTGTTGTGAGTCCGTGCCTCCACGTGTCTGTGTGTGTGGGTCCGTGTCTCCACGTGTCTGTGTGTGGGTCCGTGCCTCCACGTGTCTGTGTTGTGAGTCCGTGCCTCCACGTGTCTGTGTGTTGTGAGTCCATGCCTCCACGTGTTTGTGTGTGTGGGTCTGTGCCTCCACGTGTCTGTGTGTTGTGGGTCCGTGCTTCCACGTGTCTGTGTGTGTGAGTCCGTGCCTCCACGTGTCTGTGAGTCCGTGCCTCCACGTGTCTGTGTGTGAGTCCGTGCCTCCACGTGTCTGTGCCTCCACGTGTCTGTATGGGAGCAGTGGTGCAGTGGTCAGGGCGCTGCGCTGCGAACCCGGCCACCCGACTACGATTCCCGCTACCAATACCTAAACCGGTTCCTGCGCCTTCTCGAGATTGACTCCAAAGCCTTTGAAACTCGTACTTGGCGCATTGTGTAAACATCAGTACCGGAGAGATACAAAGGCGGCTGGAAGTGGGGTGCTGGCAAGAACCGCCCCCTGGTGTGCCGTGACAGCCTTCACAGTAGGCACTACCTTCTAACGGGACTTGTCACCGAAAGCCTGTTAAAGGCTACACAGGGGGTCTTTGTGTGTCGATGGTGCTCCTTAACAGCACCTGCCCCAAAAGTCTGTGCAGGACACAGAGGGTGATGGGTGGCGGGGGGGGGGAGGTCTTTGTTTTGGCTGTGCGCGTGTCAGTGGGGAGCGGTAGTGTAGTGGTTATCACACTGCGCCCTGAGTCTGGCCACCCGAGTTTGATCCCGTGCCGTCTCTACGGTCGCACTGGTGGGCGCTCTCAGAACAGCTCCTGGCACTGCCCCCAAGTCGGCTCAGCCTTAAATGAGTCACTGGTGCGGTGTGAAAAACATCATCAGTGGGGAGACAAAGGCGGCCAGGAGTGGTGCTGCCCCCTCCCCCTCTCCTTGCGTGATTTTGCCGGCCTTCATAGGTGCTCGCGAACAGAACTTGCCCCAACAGTCTGTGGCAGGCTGTACGGGGGATCTTTGTCTTCGTCGGGAGCTGCGGTGCACTGTCCGGTCGGTTTTTTTTTTGTGTCGGCGAATCCGCGTTGCCTGCGCCTTGCGTCCGTGTGTCGGTGGCTCTGTGCGTCTGTGAGAGTGTGTGTGTGTCAGTGTGTGTGTGTCAGTGTGTGTGTGTCAGTGCGTGCGTGTCAGTGAGTCTGCGTGCGCGTAATCGGTGTGCGTGCATGCGTGTGTGCGTGCCAGTGCGTGCGTGTGTGTGTGTGTGCGCATATCGGTGTGCGTGCGTGTGTGCGTGCCAGTGCGTGTGTGTGCGCTAATCGGTGTGTGTGTGCGTGCCAGTGCGTGCGCGTGTGTGCGCGTATCGGTGTGCGTGTGTGTGTCAGTGCGTACGTGTGTGTCAGTGCGTGCGTGTGTGTGTCAGTGCGTGCGTGTGTGTATCAGTGCGTGCGTGTGTGTGTGTCAGTGCGTGCGTGCGTGTGTGTCATTACGTGCGTGCGTGTGTGTGTCAGTGCGTGCGTGTGTGTGTGTCATTACGTGTGTGTGTGTGTGTGTCAGTGCGTGCATGTGTGTCAGTGCGTGCGTGTGTGTCAGTGCGTGTGTCAGTGCGTGCGTGTGTGTGTGTCAGTGCGTTGGTGCGTCTGTGTCAGTGCGTGTGTGTGTCAGTGCGTGTGTGTGTGTCAGTGCGTGTGTGTGTGTCAGTGCGTGCGTGTGTGTGTCAGTGCGTGTGTGTGTGTCTGTGTCAGTGCGTGTGTGTGTGTCAGTGCGTGCGTGTGTGTGTCAGTGCGTGCGTGTGTCAGTGCGTGCGTGTGTGTGTGTCATTACGTGCGTGTGTGTGTGTGTCAGTGCGTGCGTGTGTGTGTCAGTGCGTGTGTCAGTGCGTGCGTGTGTGTGTCAGTGCGTGTGTGCGTCTGTGTCAGTGCGTGTGTGTGTCAGTGCGTGCGTGTGTCTGTGTCAGTGCGTGTGTGTGTGTCAGTGTGTGTGTGTGTCAGTGCGTGTGTGTGTGTGTCAGTGCGTGTGTGTGTCAGTGCGTGTGTGTGTCTGTGTCAGTGCGTGTGTGTGTCAGTGCGTGTGTGTGTCAGTGCGTGTGTGTGTCAGTGCGTGCGTGTGTCTGTGTCAGTGCGTGTGTGTGTCAGTGCGTGTGTCAGTGCGTGTCTGTGCCAGTGCGTGCGTGTGTGTGTCAGTGCGTGTGTGTCTGTGTCAGTGCGTGTGTGTCAGTGCGTGTGTGTGTGTCAGTGCGTGTGTGTGTCTGTGCGTGCGTGTGTGTGCCAGTGCGTGTCTGTGCCAGTGCGTGCGTGTGTCTGTCAGTGCGTGTGTGTCTGTGCGTGCGTGTGTGTGTGTGTGTCAGTGCGTGCGTGTGTCTGTGTGCGTGCGTGTGTGTGTCAGTGCGTGCGTGTGTGTGTCTGTGTGCGTGCGTGTGTGTGTCAGTGCGTGTGTGTCAGTGCGTGCGTGTGTGTGTCAGTGCGTGTGTGTGTGTGCCAGTGCGTGTGTGTGTCAGTGCGTGTGTGTGTGTGTCAGTGCGTGTGTGTCAGTGCGTGTGTGTGTGTGTCAGTGCGTGTGTGTGTCAGTGCGTGTGTCAGTGCGTGTCTGTGCCAGTGCGTGCGTGTGTCTGTCAGTGTGTGTGTCAGTGCGTGTCTGTGTCAGTGTGTGTGTGTGTGTCAGTGCGTGTGTGTGTGTGTCAGTCAGTGCGTGTGTGTGTCAGTGTGTGTGTGTGTCAGTCAGTGTGTGTGTGTGTGTCAGTGTGTGTGTCTGTCAGTGCGTCCGCAGGGCAGCTGTCACATGTGGGACTCGACCGAGACGTTGACGTAGGAGAGCGGCGCCGTTCCGTTCTCAAACATCTGCAGAGGAGGATGGAGGAGGAACGAATCAAAAATAAGTAATATTTAAAACAACTTTTTTTTTAAAACACGCTTTAATGAAATATACCGTACTAGTAATGGCAGAACTCCACGACTCCAGGAAGTGGCCCCGAAGCTTGCCACAACGTAAGGGGGACCGTGGGTCAATTACAGCCAACGTCAGTTGACCGTGGACAATTTTGACCCAAGCCGAAACATCTAACATATAAAAAAAATAATGTTTAAAAATATATATTATTTTTTATGATAGAATATACTATTGTCATCAGTATGACATAAATATAGCAAGTTTCCAGTCGATACCACATTGGGAAGTGGATTACAATTGAGTTACAATATTTGAGGATACAACAATAACAACTCCAACAACTCTCTGCAAGCTGTCGGTGGCGATTGATGTGGGGGGAGCGGTGGCGCAGCGATTAGCGCGATTAGCGATTAGCGCGCCACCGCTCCCGCGAGCCCGGGTTCGATTCCCCATCACGGTACAACACCGGTGGCGATGATTATCTGAAACCGGTCCTGCGCCTCCCCTAGGTCGGTTCAGCCTCAAATGAGTACCTGGTTGCGATGCGTGAACATCGCCACTGGGGAGACAAAGGCGGCCGGGCGTGGTGGCTGGCCACCCACCCCCTCGTGCGTGCCGTGTCGGCCTTCGTTAGTGCTGCTCGCTAACAGCACTTGCCCCTGCAGCCTGTTACAGGCTACACGGGGGAGCTTTGTCTTTGACGATACGGCCCGCACCGCAGGCCATGACACATTTAGTCACACAAAAGTGATTTTGTTTGTTTTGAATGTCTTGTTTGGGATGGGGTGGAGGTGGAAACAGTGTGGGGGGGGGTGGGTGGGGGTGGGGGGTTCTCCCCCCCCCACCTCCCCCCCTCCCCCCACCTCCCCCCCTCCCCCCACCTCCCCCCCTCCCCCCACCTCCCCCCCTCCCCCCACCCTACCCGCGTCGAGTCATCGCCACGGCAACCGGACCCGTCGCGCTCCATAAAAGCGGTGGGGGGGGGGGGGGGGGGGCCCTGGATGCCACCGGCCGTCGCCACGGCAACCGAACACAAACCCGACGGCTCATTGACAGCCGTTCCGCGCGGGCGCCCCTTAACGAGCAATCAATCTGGGCCCCCCCCCCCCCAGGCGTACAGGGGTAGGGAGGGAGGCTGCGGGGGGGGGGGGGCCCGGTGGGCACACGCGGCCCGCACTGCAGGGGGGCAGCCGCTGCTGCACCCCCCCCCCCCCCCCCACATCAACCCTCGCCACCGATTGGCTCGTGCGTAAAAGGTCATCGGCTAGGGGCGCAAGGTCAGAGGCGCGGCCCCCCCCCCCACCCCCCCCCCCCCCCCCCCGCAGTTTTCTCGCAGATAGAAAGTGGCCTCCGCTCGAAGGAAGCCAGAGACAGAGTAGAGAGAGAGAGTAGAGAGTAGAGAGAGTAGAGAGTAGAGACAGAGTAGAGAGTACAGAGAGTAGAGACAGAGTAAAGAGTAGAGAGAGTAGAGAGAGTAGAGAGTAGAGAGAGTAGAGAGAGGAGAGAGTAGAGAGTAGAGAAAGTAGAGACAGAGTAGAGAGTAGAGAGAGTAGAGAGTAGAGTAGAGAGTGTAGAGAGTAGAGACAGAGTAGAGAGTAGAGAGAGTAGAGAGAGTGGAGAGTAGAGAGAGTGCGCGCGCGCGCATTGTTCTTGGCCTACTCTTCCACGTCGGCCAGACGTCTGCGGGCGCGGCCCCAACTCCCTTGTTGTTAACCACCGCGCGCGTGTTCCGTGGGGCCTCTGTACCCGTGCCGTAACGCGCGGCTCAACGGAGATGGCGGCGAGGATTTTCATTCAGTCGAGGCCCATTAGCGCGGTTGGTTGGCTACGTACGGTGCGAAAGAGGTCCAACGTGCGTACACGCAAAACGATGAAACATCGGAATAGGTGTTTTCACCCCCTTTTTTCCCCAATTAAGCGGGAGCTGTTAAGATGCTCAAACACCAAACAGGCAGCTTTTTTTTGCAATGAATAAGTTACTGCATTGACCACACACACTACTTGTGATATGGGCCACGTCTTTGAAACTGATTGTTCTACACCAGAGACGACCCTTCTTTGGAGTAGTCTCACCACCAGTGCCGAAAGGCGATCTGTAACAAACACAATTCAGGTATCACAACACCTACAGCTCGGATCGAGCAGCTATACAAAGTTCCCCACATAGATATCCGCGCACACACATTAGCGGTGGGTTGACATTGACTGTCCGCCCACAGATGTGTTCACGTGCAGCCGCTTTGTCAACATCCGCTGCTGGGTTTGGACGGAGGGTTGCCAGGAACTTCTTGTTCGGAAGAGGCGCCGCTCGCCAACAAGATGTTGGCCGTGGCCGGGAATCGAACTCGGGTGGCCAGGTGCACGGCGCGGGGCTTGAGGCACCACTCCACCGCCCCACCACCCATCGTTATTATTGCTATGAGTTTTATTTGTTTCCTGGCTCGAACCACCCCATCGACTCGTTTGCATCCCACTCATCCCGACTTGAACTTTCAAGCAGAGCCCATGGTGGTGGGTGGGGGGGTGGGGGTGGGGGTGGGTGGGTGGGGGGTGGTGGGGGGGGGGCATAACGCGAAAAATAGTTCAGGAGTCTCCGAGCCCCTCCGAAGTTCGTCGGGTGGAGTTTGTTTTATTTCTTCAAATATTCCCCCCCCCCTCTCTTCTCTGTCGCAAGAACGGTCGCGATCCATCGCCGTGGGAGCGATTCCGTTAACAGGGTCTGAGAAGGGCCGTCGTAAACGGCGTTTAACGACCACCACCACCACCACCAGCACCACCAATTCGCGCCTGCCACGCTTGTTGAGCAGCAGGGGAGGCCCTCCCCGGACGGGACCGCCGACGCCGTGAAGGGAAAAGGGGGAGGACGAAGGGGAAGAACTTTCAGAAAACAACGTGCGCTGGAAAGGGAGGGAGGGGGAGGGAGGGAGGGAGGGAGGGGAGGGCGGGGAGGGAGAGAGGGAGGGAGGGAGGGAGGGAGGGAGGGAGAGGAGGGAGTGGAGGGAGGGGAGGGGAGGGAGGGAGGGAGGGAGGGAGGGAGGGAGGGAGGGAGGGAGGGAGGGAGGGAGGGAGGGAGGGAGGGAGGGAGGGAGGGAGGGAGGGGAGGGAGGGAGGCTAAAAACGCCAACAGAGTCGCCGCAGCAGCCACGTGGGAGGTGCAGCGGGCACGGCGGTGGCGACGAGGAGGAGGAGGGAGACGAGGAGGGGGGAGATGAGGAGGGGGGAGATGAGGAGAAGGAGGAAGACGAGGAGGGGCGATATGAGGAGGAGAGAGACGGAGCGCTCAGCGGGGAGCGGCAGAGCCATCACGAGAGGCGGGACCGCGCCAAGCAACATCGTCGTCGTCGTCGTCATCATCATCATCGTTATCATCATTGTCATCATCATCGTCATCATCATCATCGTCATCATCTTCGTCGTCATCATCATCATCATCGTCATCATCATCGTCGTCATCATCATCGTCATCATCTTCGTCGTCATCGTCGTCATCATCGTCGTCATCATCGTCATCATCGTCATCATCATCGTCATCATCATCGTTATCATCATCGTCAATATCGTCATCATCATCATCGTCATCATCGTCATCATCATCGTCATCATCATCGTTATCATCATCGTCAATATCGTCATCATCATCGTCGTCGTCATCATCGTCGTCGTCGTCATCATCATCGTCATCATCATCATCGTCGCCATCATCGTCATCATCATCATTGTCCTCATCATCGTCGTCATCATCGTCGTCATCATCAATGTCATCATCATCGTTATCATCATAATCGTCATCATCGTCGTCATCATCATCATCATCATCGTCGTCGTCGTCACCACCAAGTATCTACATCGGCTGCTGCTGCTACCATGGTTTTCGGTCCATAGATAACAAAAGCACTGAACACGGTCGTCAATAATACTTACTAGCATGCATACTCTTTGGGTCTTTCGATAAAGTCACGTAGATAGAAAAATAATAACAAAAATTACGACGTTTCGTTCGCAACACGAGCAATCGTCTTCAGGTGAAAAAATACAGCAGGCGGACTGCTGAGGCAGGAGAAATATAAGACCCAAATATGATGAATTCCTGCAGTCACGAAAGCTTTAAATCAAGATACTATCATGCAATTTTGACACCGTGACGCCTGACGTTTTTCATGTATTCGTACAATGTTTTCCGATGGCCAGTTAAGTTTAAAAAAGACATGTCACTCGCAGCAAGCTAGCGGAGTAACAGACATAACCCCTGAAAAAAAAAAGACTCGATCAACTATCCAAGGTAAAAATTGCTATGGAGTTCTGTCGTGCATTCGTCAGCGTCAGCAAGGGTGAATTGTCGGCCCCGCGGCAGCCTATAGCACATGTTACCCACGGTGACCCGTGGGTTTCCCGAACACCATCCAGGGTCAACCCCGCTCGGCGTCTGAGAAAGACGCGTGGACGCCTTACCAAAGGGCTCTCTAACGCAGGGGTCCCCAACCCCCGGTCCCGTGGCCCGTTAGGAACCGGGCCGCACAGCAGCAAGAGGCGAGAGCGGTGAGTCCGCACGTGGCCCGCCCGCCAATTATTTTATTATTTACCACTTCCATCCGCGCCTCTTTCCCGCACCGCGCGCTTGTCTCAGTCACAGTGTTGGTAAGCCCACAAGCTCTAACCCCTAGTAGCCACAATGAGTAAGCCCACAAGCTCTAACCCCTAGTAGCCACAATGAGTAAGCCCACAAGCTCTAACCCCTAGTAGCCACAATGAGTAAGCCCACAAGCTCTAACCCCCTAGTAGCCACAATGAGTAAGCCCACAAGCTCTAACCCCTAGTAGCCAAAATGAGTAAGCCCACAAGCTCTAACCCCTAGTAGCCACAATGAGTAAGCCCACAAGCTCTAACCCCCTTGTAGCCACAAGGAGTAAGCCCACAAGCTCTAACCCCTATTAGCCACAATGAGTAAGCCCACAAGCTCTAACCCCTAGTAGCCACAATGAGTAAGCCCACAAGCTCTAACCCCTAGTAGCCACAATGAGTAAGCCCACAAGCTCTAACCCCTAGTAGCCACAATGAGTAAGCCCACAAGCTCTAACCCCTAGTAGCCACAATGAGTAAGCCCACAAGCTCTAACCCCTAGTAGCCACAATGAGTAAGCCCACAAGCTCTAACCCCTAGTAGCCACAATGAGTAAGCCGACAAGCTCTAATCCCCTAGTAGCCACAATGAGTAAGCCCACAAGCTCTAACCCCTAGTAGCCACAATGAGTAAGCCCACAAGCTCTAACCCCTAGTAGCCACAATGAGTAAGCCCACAAGCTCTAACCCCTAGTAGCCACAATGAGTAAAAAACAAACGTCGCTGCAGAGCTTCTTTGAAAAGGGGGAAAGACCCAATGATGAACCCCCCCCCCCCCCCCCCCCCCCCGGTCCGTTAAAAAATTGTCTTCCGCGAAACCGGTCCCTGGTGCCAAAAAGGTTGGGGACCGCTGCTTCTAACGTATCCATCATCACCATCATCAGCCGTGTTCCGTCCACTGCTGGATGGAGGAGACCCTTCAGCCAACCCCAAGCCGCCGCCTCTCACGATCCCGGAATGCAACAGGGCCCCACCGAGGAGCTGGGCACGCGCCAGCTGATCCGCACTACGGATGGTGATGGCGATGGCACTTCAATGAAATCTCGAATCTATCCGATCGTCTCTCTCTCTCTTTCTCGGGCGCCAGCTCAGACCTCTCACCCCCACCATTCTGTCCACGCGGGACCATCATTCGCTTTGAGACGGCTCCGGTGGGGACGTCACCTTAGGGCAGGGGTGGGGAACGTCCGGCACCGCCAAATCATTTGGGTCTCTGGCTCTGCCAAGGCAACCGCAGGCGGGACTCTAAATTCAATGAATCTAGGGGAGCAAACCTGGAAAAGCAGTTGCGAGTAGCAACAAAATAATCAATACCAGCTAACA